CCAGATACAATTTATGTTTAAATATTTTTTGTTTAGGCACAGATGGACCCAATACCTTTATTCTGCTTATTTAGTTTTATGTGGTGCTGAGAATTGAACCCAGTGCCTCACACATGCAAGGGAAGCACTCCACCACTGAGCTACAACCCCAGCCCCCAGTTACAATTCTTTAGCAGATAAATTTTTGCAAACTTATTTTAGTCTGTGGCTTGCCTTTTCAGTTTATGAACAGTGTCTTCTGAAGACCAAACTGTTTTATTTTAAATAAAGTCAAAACCATCAATTTTCCTTTTGTTRTTCATCATCACACCTTCACCTAATCCACTGTCAAAAATATTTCCTCCTACAAATGGTAGAATTTCTGGTCTCACATGAAAGTCTCCAATGTATTTTAAGTTAATTTGTATGTGTGTGTTTTAAGGTAAAGGTAAAGATTATTTGTTTGCATGTGTTGTTCAAATGTCATAGTACCAGTATTGAAATGATAATCCTTTGGCACAGTGAACTGCCCTAGCACTTTGGTCAATAATCATTTGACCATATTTTGCTCAGCTAATATGCATGTCTACCTCTACCCCCCACACCTGTTGTACACTATTTTAATTACTAGAGCTTTAAAGTAAGTTTTGAAATGAGGTACTGTAAGCCCTCCAACTTTTTCTTTAGGGGCTATCCCAGGTCCTTTGTGTTTCCACTTAAAATTTGAGATCATCTTGTCAGCATCTACAAAGATATCTGTAAGAATTTTAACAGGAATACACTGAATTTATTAATCAAATACAGATAAAATACCATCYTAACAACTTCCAATCCATGAACATGGTATACCTTCGTATATTTATCATGGTATATTTATCTAGGACTTCTTTATTTTCTCAGCAGCGCTTTTCTTTTTTTTTTTCAAGTCTTTATACGTGTACTTTGGATAATGATGTCTATCACATTCCACCATCCTTGCTAATTTTTTGCCCCCTCCCACCCTCTTCCCTATCTAGAATTCATCTATTCCTCCTATGCTCTCCCTCCCCACTCCACTGAGTGTCAACCTCCTTATATCAGAGAAAACATTCGGCATTTGTTTTTTTGGGGATTGGCTAACTTCACTTAGACTCAGCAGTGCTTTTCATTTCCAGTGTAGTTGYCTCATGCTTCATTAAATTTATTCCTAAGCATATTCTTCTTTTTGATGCTATTGTGAATCAATTTAAAATTTTCACTATTAGACTGGCCATATCTCTCTCTCTTTTTTTTTTTTTTTTTTGGAGTATCAGGGATTGAACTCAGGGACACTCGACCACTGAGCCACATCCCTAGCCCTATTCTGCATTTTATTAGAGACAGGGTCTCATTGAGTTGTTTACCACTTCACTAAATTGCTGAGGCTGGCTTTGATCTTGTGATCCTCCTACCTCTACCTCCTGAGCCGCTGGGATTACAGACATGGCCACCGTGCCCAGCTGGACTGTTCATCTCTAATAAAATAACAATTTATGTGTTTATAAGCCTTTACTTTTACCATATTCCTTTTTTGTTGTTTTGAATAACATATTCTTCACTTTCAGTGTTAAATATCAGCTCTAACCTCATTATTCCACTTCCCTTCTACCAAAATAAGTTATACCAAGAGGAAGGCAAACATTTCCACCATCTCTTTAGGAAACTATCTGGTTTAGAACAGTAATTCAAAGTGAGCCATTAATATACAAAGCTCAGATAGTCCACTATTTGTGCTATTTAACATTTAAAATTACACTTAGCAAAAACCAAACTTATAACATTTTTTTAAGTTGGTATAAAGAGTCTCTCTGCTTCCCACTCTTAAAAATCTTAGTTTTCATGTTTGAACAAATTCAACTCACAACCTCTTTTGTAAATAAAACATAACTGAAGCACAGCCATGCTCATTTGTTGTGGCTGTCTTTGAGCTATAACAGTAGAGTGTATATGTTTTACAAGCCTAAAGCCAAAGTTCACTATTTGGTCCTTTACAAAGTCTGCTGTGTGAATCAGGCAAACATTGCACTCTCTTAAATTAAGAAGAATTAATATCCAATGTGTAGCACTACAGAATGTTTGTATCACTGCTTAAATGTCAATCTTGATACCTAATTCCCAATGTGAGGCTATCTGGAGGTGGAGTCTTGAGGATGTGATTGGATCATATGGCAGAATCCTCATCATGAAATTGATGCCCATAGAGAAGAGACCTAGAAAGCTCTCTTGCTCCTTCTACCACGTGAGGTTACAAAGAGAATCTCAATAACTATGAGTCAGAAGCCAGCCTGCACCAGACCAAATCTGTGAGCCTGATCTTACACTGCTCAGCCTCCAGAACTGTGAGAGAAATTTCCATTTTTTATCAGTTTATGGTACTATGTCACAAAAGCCCAAACTAACTAATAAGATATGTAAGAATACTCTGTTCCCTAAATATTTTTCCTTAGTCTTTACCATCTAAACTTTTCAATTATTTTTCCTCAAATTTTTTAAAGTTTATTTGAAAATATTGGCTATTAAAAAAAAAACACTGAATATTAGAATAAGTTAAGTTTCACAAGTAAATTACCTAATATGGACCAGAATAATACAGCCTGTATATGAATGTTGAATGAAGGGAGCTACAAAAAAAAAAAAAAAATCAAGCTTATATTGTGTCAAAAGATTTTAATTTACACACGGATCTGTTTTAGAGAACAACGATACAATAAACACCTCATAAAGACCATAAAGCAGATAGATTCAAGAAATTTAAAACTGTTGAGTACTCGGAGAAGTACAAATTATTYGTTTTAAACATTTAAAACCCGGCTGTTCAAAAAATATGCATACCACATAAAACTAGACTGAAAGATGTAAGTAGAATTGTATAATACATGGACAATAACTTTGAGCAACACATAAGAATGTTCAAATCCCATCCATCTAGTGTAACTGGGTTGTAGCTCAGTGKCAGAGCTTTTCCTTCATATGCGTGAGGCCCTGGGTTTGATCCTCAGCACCACATAAAAATAAACAAACAAAAATAAAGATATTGTGTCCATCTACAACTAAAAAAAAAAAAATTTAAATGAGCATATATGAGTAACAAGAAAGAAAAAGTAAAGTCAAACACAAAAACATAAATGGGAATAAAATGAAACAGAAGAGACCTTAAAATATCAAAACACACATTTTTCCAGTTAATTATTCCCCTGCTATTTGTTTCCTAATAACAATTCAGATGGCAAAACCCAACTCATCCTAATCTGTTCCATCAGCAGTGTCAGATTCCAACACCTGAATTCTGTTCTAAATGTCAGTTACATATACACAACTATCATTTTCTCTCCGAAAACTTACATAAAGAAAAAACACACAACTATCTGTCTTACCATAAAGATTTTACCCAACTATTTGTCTCTAAAGCATCACTATCCAATAGAATTTTCTGAATAACAGAAAAGTTCTCTATGTTAGTCACATGTGGCTATATAACAACTGAAATGTGACTAGTGTAACTAAGGACCTGAACTGTAAGTTTTAATTAACATATTACATTAAATTAACATTAACCACATGTAGCTAGTGGCTACCATATTGAACAGTACTCATCCAAAGTACTAGAAAGTTAACTTCACAGATTTCTATTGGTTCAGAAAAGAAATAATTTCCTTTTTCTTGCTATGAATTAACTAACCTTCTAACCCCAAGGCATATTACTTCTGCTTTAGCAAGTAAGTAGCACATAAATCCTGTTTTCAGTAACGTAATCTGGTTTTTCTCCTACCATCTCCAGATGAAAAACATACAGCTAGTTTTTATCAGATATCAAGGGTACTGCAGTTTTACTTTGAACCAGCCATCTATACAAGGTTTTAAAAACAGGATCATAAAGGTGCAGATTGCTTCACCTAAAACACCACCAAAATGTTCTTTTTTTCTCTTATAAAAACTAATTCAAGGGCTGGGATTGTGGCTCAGCCTTGCATGTGCGAGACCCTGGGTTCGATCCTATAAAAAAGCACCACATAAAAATAAATGAATAAAATAAAGGTACTGTGTCCAACTACAACTAAAAAATAAATATTAAAAAAATTAACTCAAACTTCAAGAACTTTTAACCATTGATTGATGAAGAACACAACAGAAGGGTGATGAATAGTGTAAACACAGACCATGCAAAATAAAGTGAGACTTAGAAAAGCACTCATCAAAAGCTGCTGGGCTGATTTCTTGTGCAAAACTCTTGCAGACATTTGTGTTTCCAAATTTTGAAAAATAATGGACAAATGTTATATATCACTTGTCAGGTAATATGGAACACTCCAGCAGGAACTGCTAGTATGCTCTGTCCCTGGGTTTTACATTAAGTACCTTTTACATATCTCTATTTCCAAATTTATATCTCTAATCCACCTATCCAGATCCCAATGTGTAGACCCAGCTACCCAACTGCCATTACATGTCTCCAGTTACTTAAAGTCAACATTATTTACTCAACAAATACTTATTGAGTGTTTACTATACACCAAACATTGTTTTAGGGGCTGAATAAATACCCACTTGAAATGCTCTATATCCTCAAAATGACCCCCACTTTCGAGTAAAGTATGGAAGCTGGGACTTCCTTATTTTCTACCCGCACTACCCATCAATCATCCACCCCTTCTRAATTACCCAAGTCTTTCTCCAATTCATTCACTCCACCCCACTTCACTGCTGTCACCTATCGACTAGTGGAGGCAATATGGCACCACAGGACATCTGAAAACATCTGGACTCATGGTTGTCACACTTGGGGGGTGCTGCCAAGATCTTCTAAAGGTCCTTCAGTGCACAGGTCAGTCCTGAACATCAAAGAACTAGCCACCCTAACATGCCAGCAATGCAGAGGTGAGCAGCTGCACTCTAAGTGACTGGAAGTGATGCGTAGCACCAACTCAGCAGTTTTCCCCTTAAGGAATCATGATTCAGAATTATTTTTAGTATAACAAATAAAATTCTCTGAGTTGAGTACTCACTTGTGCATGCTCTCCACTCCTATTATGATCATGATGCAGTAGGAAATCCCACTTTGCACAAGAAAATGTAAGGCATACCTGTAACAAAGTAAGAGTCCTGTTAGAAGAAGTCACAGACATTGAGCTCAAATAACTTAAGCTAACAAATACTTAGACAGAACCCAGAACATTCCCAGATTAAAAAAATAAGGAACAAAACCTACAAAGCCAAAAATTCACTGGAGAAGTAGTCCCATGTTCAGCCCCAGAAACTGGAAACCAACCCCTAAACACTACACTCAGTGGCCCAGGATTCCATGTCTCCCAGCAACAGGAAGCAGGGTGGGGTCTGTGGCTCAAGGACCACAGCCTTCCTCCTACTCAAGCCAGTGAGTGAAGGGCAGCGTTCAAGRAAGCCCTGCACAACATCCGCTGTTCCCAAGCTGCCTTCTCCAACCCTAGCTTGACTCTGCCTTTCTCTGTTGAACAACTGTACTCACAATAACAAAAAGCACTGAGTATTAGCACTTACTAAAAAATGAGTATGMCCAAATCTATTCACAAAACAATTCTAATAAATTTAGAATACATTTGTCATCTGATAATTTGCTGTAATGTATCTACAAGACACTCTGGCTTACATGGAAGCATTTTCTAATATCTTAATGTAGAAATCAACAAATGAGAGAATTTATCCATTCATTTCACAAAATTCAGGCAACATAGGATTAGGATCTCTGGGATTAAAATCCATCACACCATCACTGAGGTCACGCATGTGCGTGCACCCTCTTTCAATCTTTCTCCTTTGGTGGCATCAATAATTCATGATAAAAATTTCAAATCACTGTGTACAACTGAAGTATTAATAAATGTCTAAAACCTATGATTAGAATCACTTTTTAACTTAATCATTATGAAATAACTGCCACCACTGATGTAGAAAAGTTACTTAAATATTTGGACACACTTTCCGTACGTAAGGAAGAAGGTCCAAGGCAGGCACAGAGGAGCAACTCCCTTTGCCCACTGGGCCAGGSAGGCCGCTCTGCTCCTGCCTCTCTCACACAGGACACAATGCTGGCCTGCAGTACTGCCGAGGTCAGAGCGCTAGGAGATGGCTGAAGACCTTTAGGAGTATAAATTCAAATATAAAAGAGGCTTAAAAGAAAAGCATGATTAACACACATCCTTCTCAAAATCATCCACATCCTATTTATTGCCAGCACAACAACTCACTCACAGACTTGAGCAAACATGTTGAAGGGCCTGCTAGATTCTTTCAGGGGCTTTTAAAATTGAGAGTACAGCTCATTAAAGGTACTTATCTTAAACAAGAGAAAAGAAAATAAGCTGTAGTATTCTTTGGGGAAAGTTTTACTTTTCTATGAGTAAATTTCCTTGGAATACAAGACATGAAAACTCTGAGGCCAATGATTTTATTTCTCAAACAGCACTATGGTGCCTACGGTCACTTTCAGGTGCCCACTCTCCTGGCATCGCCATTCTGACGACCTGCCTGGCAATCTTGTGGGTGCAGTGCAACGCGTGGGCAGCTGTCTAGAGCACCTCCACATCCAGCACCAGCTGCTGTTCGAATGGTCACTGCACTTGTAACGTCCTCATGCTTTCCTGAGCGACTCCGCCTGTCCTCATTAGGAAGATGGGTGCAACGGATCTACAACAGCCACTTGGGTCTTTCAGGACTGAGCGAATACAAGAAAGCACTGACCGGGTTACCTGGCAGGGAAAGCACCCAACTAGTAAGCATTATTAATAAAGTAAAAAAATTAGAAAATTTTAAAGAAATTCTTTAGTTTTCTTTTCTAGAAAAAAAAATTAGAAAAAGAATTTTAAGATGCTCTCTAACCAACCCTCATAATTTCAGAGTTAAGGAAACTAAGGTCTGACACCCAGCGGGTATTCTAGTCAACAAGAAAACTTGTGTTGTTTCTGGCCAACCTGTCCACTGGTTGATTCTTCAAGGGGCGGGTTGAGGTGGAATGTGCATCATAATCTTTTCAGCTGTGTGAACACTTTGAAAATAAATGCTTTCTCCCCAAATTTTAATTTATTTTTTACTTCAGTTGTATTAGTATTTTATTGACTGACTGGCTGATTGATAGAGGCGCTGGTGATGGAACCATGCTGGCCTCATGCATGCTAGGCAAATGCTCCATCACTGAGCCACATGCTTAGCCCTATTTTTATTTTATTTTTTACTTTATTTTATTTTCTGGTACAAGGGACTGAACTCAGGGGCACTCAACCACTGAGCCACATCCCCAGCCCTATATTGTATTTTTTATTTAGAGACAGGGTCTCATTGAGTTGCTTAGCAACTCACCATTGCTGAGGCTGGCTTTGAACTTGTGATCCTCCTATCTCAGCCTCCAGTCCAGAGCCACTGGGATTACAGGCATGCACTACCACACCCAGCTAGCCTTAATTTGTATTTAACTAACACATGTTATTTATTTTGAATTTCAAATCACACTCAAGATAGACATAAATTTATTTAATAGAGCACAAGTTTTAAAAAGGCTGAAAACATTTGATTTTTTCAACTACTTATTGAATATTATTATTATTATTATTATTATTATTTTGAAGTGTTGGCGATTAAACCCAGGGTCTCCAGGTTTTTGGGTAAGCACTCTACCACTGTACTATAACCCCCGTCCCCTGAATTGTCATTTTCTGAAAACCACTATGGTAGACACTGGAAATATAAGAATAGATGACACCATTTCTGGCCTCAGAGAGCTTCCAGTCTAGAGAGAAACACACAAATAAAACAAGAACACTACTCCAATACTGTATGATAAACACTAACAAAGAAATTGGATAAGCACAAAAATTTCCAATCTGGATCACCAACTAGGAGACAGGAACCCAGCTCTCRCATTTGTAATCTACAAATTCACTCCCAACGGCTTGCCTCCAGAGCATTCCAGGACAGGTTTGTGGATCGGAGATGCTCAACTATTTCAAAAACTATGGAACCAGAAACACTTTTGGTCAAGCGTTTCTGATAAGGGACACTCAACCTGTGACACATAAGTGACCTTGAGWAATGGCCCCTGCTCACAGCATTTGCTGTAGCACCTTGGCTTTTAGTGTTCAGAATAATCACTGACTGCACTTAACACAGAAGCAAGTGAAGCTAAGAGGGGTCAAATAACAAGTCCAAAGTCAGACCGCTACAGGCAAGGCCCCCAGACCTTATCGGGTCTATCTGACTTCAAAGTCTAAGCTTCATTTCATTACCCTATACAGTTACCAAAGGTATTTAAATGATTTTAACTATTAACTAATTTTCAGTTTTTTWAAAAAAAAACCTTACAGATGATAGTTTAAAAAAAATTGAGAACAAGCAGAAGTAGGTAAAATAATTAATTATTACAGAGTACAAATGTATGTCCTTCCAAAAGGAAGTTGTAAAAACCAGTAGCAGATGATTGCCTTAAGTCTGAAAAACGAAGTGCTAAAATGTAAATGAGAAAAATATTTCACTTCTCACTAGCTAAATTCAACTAGCAAAGAGTGATCTTACACATGATGCAGAGGCATCAACACCTCTCTTCCCAAAGGAAGGAGGGCAAAATGGATTTCTCCTTTAAGAAAGGAAAACTCAATTTTTAAAAATCCTGATTATCACATATAACTTGAAATCTAAGATTACATAGCTGGGCATGGCAGTGCCTGCTGAAATGCCAACAACTCAGGAGGATGAGACAGGAGGATCGAAAATTTGAGTCAGCCTCAGCAACTTAGCAAGACCCTGTCTGAAAATTAAAAAGGGTTCAGGATGTAGCTCAGTGGTAGAGCGCCCGTGGGTTCAATGCCCAGTACCAAAAAAAAACCCCTTGCAATTATCTAATATTAAAGCCAGGTATCATGTGCCACCATGTTACGAAGCGTCCAAGGCAGCTTGCATATCAAGGAAGTGCTTCCTCAGTAAAGAACAGTGAAGCAGAGAAACCTGCCGGCCCTACCTCTATGTTACAGGGCCCCAGCATCATCATCCACCGTTGCCACAGGCCACAGGCCACAAATTGAGTGATATGCCCTGGCCAACCTCCTCCAACCCTCATGAGAACATTCTACAAGTACATATTGAAAACCCAACTTACTTATGTGTAAAATGTATAGGCAGAAATGTACTTCACTCTAGAAAAATAAACTGGGATAAGTAAGAATGGTAGGTTTGATACCTGTTGAAGCTGGTAATGGGCAACTGAGAGTGCGTACTCCTGTGTTTAAAATTTTTCATAATAAAAAGTTTTTTAAATGGGTGTTTATAAATAAACATAAATAAATATAAACACATTAATGTTTATATTTTCCCCCCATTGCATGATTTACCAGAAGCCTTGGTTTCTACCCAAGAAAACTTTGATGACACAAATCTGATGTCATCAAGGATGGAAAAGACCATGTTTGGATCCACCTGGGAGATCAACTCACACCTCCTCCTGCACACATGCATGCCCAAGACAGCACCCTGACTCAAGGCTGGCCACAGGGCCATGCAGGCAGGGACACAATAAATTATTCCTCAGTGACTTTTCATGAGTTTCTAGGAAACACCTGCAATTGCCAGAGGCAAAAATTAGACTAAGAAATACCAACACACTCCAGAATGCTACATCATCCCAGAACAAACAGAAGTGTCATCAGACTGCAGGTGCCACACCCCGAGGTGGCAAGTGGCTGGGACAGACCACGCAAGTGCACTTCSACCTCACCGCACTCTGCTCTCAAGCAGCCTGCCATCCTCCTGGAGTGGTGAGCAATCAGCAAGTGACACGCAAGGTAAGTGTCCTAGAAAAGACACCAGAGGGAGGCACCAAGCAGCCCTTCACCAAGAGTCCACCTGATTAAGATGCTCTCCCTGGCACCCAGGAGGCGCTGTTCTGGATGAAGGCTCTCAGGTAGCCCACGATAGAGAAGGGGCTCACTGAAGGACTACCCAGGCCCACACGAAGGACATAAATAAAGCTCTCCATCATAAATAACTTTTCTTCACCAAGAGCACACTCTTTTTGCCAACAGTAGAACCTAAATAATGGTAAGAGAGCTCTCTCAATATGGACATTACCAGACTCTTAGAAGCCACTAGCATCAAAAAAAAAAAAAWAAGAAAAGAGAAAGAAAACCATCACCAGCACCACAGCCATTTAAAATGTTCTGTCTTGGCATAAAAGATTTGCAAAATGCTGCAAAGAACTACCCAGACAGATGAAAATGTCTTTTTACATCCTTTTTTATCTGTCCTTTTTCATAAGTTACAATTTAGTAAATTCCTCTCTAAGACCAACCAAAGAGTGAGAGCCCACTCCCCACTCTTTGTTCTGYTATTAAAAATAAAAATTTTAAGTCTTGAGAGAAAACTTTATAAGCAAATAAAAGAACAAAACTCTTAAATGTATCTTCAGCAGCTCAATTCTCAAATATACCCAAATAGTCTTCATTTAAACATGATCAAAATAATACTTACCATCCAAAGCAAAAAAGTGCAAGATAAAGGCCCAAAAGGGTAGCAACTATATGTCTTATAAAAGAGCTAGTTTTGCTTGAATGTAGATAAGTTCGAAACCAAATGGCTGCTAACAAGGCAAAGAGTTGGCACACTACAAAGTTGACCTGTAAAGAAAAATCAAAATTTTGCATTAGCAACAGACTTGAATTTTTCATTTTATGGTACATTTAAATTCTCAGGACAAAAACATCATGTTTACATAAAATTAAGAGCTTCCAGTTTAAAAAACAAACAAACAAAAATCCAGCCTGCCCAGGGAGGAACCTCAAGCTTGGACACCCTCTGTGCACACTGCACCTGGCACGGTCAGATGGGCCGATGGGCCCAGGTCGGGGCGTCTGGAAGAGCACCTGTGTGGCAGAGGGAGCCCAGGCGTTGGAGCCCTGCACTAACTCTCCTGGGGGAAGAGAAGCTGGCCTCCACAGTGCTCCAGGGCATCCTGGCAGTGGGAGTGGGGCCTGTGCAGTCTAAACACCACGCCTGTGAACCAAGGGCCCTGGCGGCTTAGTCTCAGGGACAGCAAGAGGACTGACGACAGACCTGCGGCCTTCAGAAAGCCACAGGGAAACACCTCCCCAAGTCCCCAGCAGCACCTCCAGATGGCCTCACAGTGGCCAGCAACCACAAAAGCCCCGGGAGAGGCCAAGGCTCTGGGGCCCTGGTTGCTCTCTCCCAGAGCTCCACAGAAGGGCTCCGAACATGGTCTTCACGGGCACGCGGAGCCTCAAGGAAACCCACCATTTCTTTCTTGCGAGGCACATTCTCACAGAATGTCCAGGAAGCTGTGTCCCTCAATCTGTGAGCACCAGACACCACGTGGCCCCCGAGAGGCGCAGCGCTCCGACACACCCACCTGAGCCCAGTGTCCCGGACAGGCTGCAGCRCTTATGCTCCTAAAGGGTTCCAACAGCATTTTAAAAAATCAAACCCAAAGTAAAATACATCAGAAAAGTCAGTATTCTTGATATTAAAAACTGTTYGCACTTCCATAGCTTTTTACAGTCAAAAAACTTCCAAATATATCAATTCTTTCTTTCAAATCTCTGAATAAAAATTAGGATATGATTTTGAAGAAATTCTTTAAAAAGAAATTTCTTTCCTAATAAGAAATTTTAGAAAAAGAATTTAATACCGTCTACCCAAGAGTTGAGGAAAATAAGGTCTGACACCTATAAGTCCCTAGCCGTGCATGCCCAAGGGGCAGCCACAGGCAGTACAAACGCCCAGGCCCAGCACCCGCCCAGGGTGCTTCTGATATCTAATATACAAAGGAAACATGTGCACAGGATTTCAATCAATATTAGACAGCCTCTTTAAAAAGTCTGCAGATAGTGGTTAAGGACATCGTAAAGGAGAAGCCTGAGGGTGAATGTCACCAAGCAGGTGGAAATGCTGGGCCACAGCAGTAGGGAGTTCCAAATCCCTTTGTTTGAGGAACCTCCCTCCTTCTCCCTCAGCCTTCTCCCTCTTCCCATATTTGTATATTAATATAATTTAAAACAAAGTGTGGGGGGTGGGGTGGTGGCTCAGTCGTAGAGCACCTGCCTACCACATGTGAGGAACTAGGTTCCATCCTCAGCACCACATAAAAAGAAATAAATAAAATACAGGTACTGTGTCCATCTACAACTAAAAATATTAAAAACAAAGAAACAGACAAAAAGTGTGAAGCTGGGCATGGTGACGCAGACCTGTCGTCCCAGTAACAGGGGAGGCTGAAGCAGGAGGATCACAAGTACAAGGCCAGCCTCTACAACTCAGAGGGACCCTGCCTCAAAATTTAAGAAGGGATGAGGATGTAGCACAGTGGCAGCTGCCCCCCCCCGCCCCATTCAATTGCTACTACCACACACACTCAAAAAAAAAAAAAAATATGATTACTATAGAAACATTTTAGAACTACTGACATACCGGACAGATTTTATAGAATCTTTGTGACCATCTATTTTCAAACTGTCATCTTTTTAGATCAAGAAAAGGAGATCAGATCTTACTCTAATCAAAATCTTTGGTGCCCGAATGTCTTTGTTAACACACACCCGTGCACACATTCTTACAATCCTCAAGGCATGAGAACCATCATGCTGGACAGTAAGAAAAAGGGGGGAAACCCTACAATATTAAGGAAGSACTCAGTGATTAAAAGTGCAAATGAAGGGCTGGGGATACAGCTCAGTTGGTAGAGTGCTCGCTCGCATGCACAGGCTCTGGGTTCAACCCCAGCACCACAAGAAAAAAGAAAAAAAAAGTGCAGGAGAAAAATGAACAGGGGATGGAGATGACAGGGAGGGAGGGAGGGGCCATAAAATATAGCATTGAAAAACCATTGACAATGTTTTTTTCCTTTAAGAAAATGTGATTTGCACTCTGCTTCTGCATAGGAAGGAGAAGAACAAAGCGCATGTGGGAACACTGTAGGAGGCCACTGCTCCAATGCCCGGAGGACAGAGGCCTAGACTTGCTGGGAGAGAAGTGAGCTAAAGAAGAGGGTCAGGGTGGGTAGCTAGACAGGGACTAGAGCGTGGGAAAGGCAGCTCACAGCTGATGGACGCTGGGGAGAAGGTGGGCAGCAAGGGCAGTTTAGGGGAAATGGACTCTATCTTAGCTGTTCTTGGCTTGGGAGTGCCCAGGGGACAAGCTGGCACACTGCAAACACAGCTCAGCATGACAGGAAACCTTAGGCAAAATCCCAGAGACCTGCAAAGCTCATACCCAAGACCAAGCACCAAGAGCAACAGAAGAGCAAGCAGAAGTGTAAGAATGAATAGTCCTGGGGTGGGGGCAAATGCTCAAGCAGCCATGGTCACTGCCAAGTGTCAAAAGTCCAAAGGAGCCTCCTGATCTGGCCACCACTGGTGATCGTGGTGAGAGTAGCTGACAACTCCTCAGAGCCATATCTTATAGATGAGAAGATTTAAGTCCCAGTGTGGAGGGAGCCTGACTAAGAATTCATACATTTACCCACCAACTGCCCAGGTAACCATTCGGGAGACAGGAAGATGCACAGAATGTGGTCCTGCTCAGGAAGGATGAGGAACAGTCCCAGTCCAGAACTGGAGAAGGAATCCAGTGCTAAGGCCTAAAAAACCCAGGGAAAGGGCAGCGCCCACCCCCCTGCAGAGGGGAGGCTTCCCAAAGGCAACCCTGGCCCACAGGCCTCGTAACTGCCTGTGAAGAATAAGATTGGGACAGTCGTCAGTGGTACAACTCTAAGGAGGGGAGCAGCGTCATTCCTATCAAGATGTGCAGGACAGCCAGATGGAAAAGCCCAGATCATCTGTTACTTGGCTAGGAGAGACTAGAAGACGTACACCCCAAATTCCAATAACTCCCCTGAAAGTTCTTAAATGTAAAACTTCCCCACACAGAAATCCTATCTGTCTTAGTCGCTGAGATCAGGTGGGGCTGGAAAGGCAAACGGATTCTGAGGAGGGAGAAAGAGCAAGAGTGCAGGTAGGCACGCACCTCCAACAGGTCCTCCTTCAGGACCCCAGGGCTGCGGGTCGCGCTACCCACCACGCACTGTGCTCCTCGCACTAACTCCATCATCCAGTCCCAAGAACGGGGAGCTGCCACCCCAAGCCACTCAACCAACTAAGCACCAAGCTCAAGGTCACATAAAGGAAGACTTAAGCCCAAGTCTGACTGAGCCTGCGCTGTCCCAGCCTCTGCTTCCAGAGGTGGTCTGAAGATCACACTCAATTGCTACAGGCAAGATTCTGAAAGACATGCTATCTCCTAGGTGTGGCTGTTCTGTTTCAAAAAAACCCACAAAAGGCCATTTCACATAGCTAATAAACATGATCAAAAATATGCTGTGTGGAATTACTGTACACTTGTTTTGGCCTGTTACTGTTATCTTTCTATATAAGTTTTCTTCCAGGTGGAAAGAAGTAAACTAAAAAGATTTTATGTTCTTCTTTCAAAAACTATTTTATTGGAAATACAGACATGCCTCCATACCTGCAGGTTCCACAATCACCAGATTCAACTAACCATGGGTGGAAAATGTGTGTGTGTGTGTGTGTGTGTGTGTACACTGAACACTAACAGACTGTTCTTCTTGTCATTATTCTCTAAGCACTGTAGTATAACAACTATTTACATTGTATTAAGATTGTAAATCATCCAGAGATGAGCTAAGTATACAGGAAGTCACATTCAATACTGCACCATTTTAAATAGGAGACTTGACAGCCATGAATTTTGGTATGTGAGGGGGATTCTGGAACCCTCCTCCCCAGTACTGAGGTACGTCTTATCGTATTGAAATGACCTAACCCCTGAAGTAATGAGCCTTCAAACTGCATTCAGTAATGCGGTAGTGGGAGGCAAAGGTGGACAACACAGGCAAAGGAGAAAGAGGGCAACAGCGAAAAACTGAAACCTTTTGAAGACTTATTTATAACACATCTGTTTCTTACAAAAGAAATTTTTGTTTAAAAAACAAAATTTWAAAAAAAACTGCATCTAAAAATACTTAGAAAAGCCACGGTTTAGATAGGACAGAGGGGTGCTTATTCTACATAGTGTAAGGGAAGTATTTTTTTCAACACTGAGGGACTGGGTTCAATTTAACAGTTAGTGTCTGACAGGGAGTTTGAAAGCCACCTTAGCACTTAGTGGCTCATAAAACTTCAAAGTAATAGCAACAAGATTATCTTTTAAAGAGATTCAAAGAATTTAATAATAAGTCAAAATAAATTTGAAAGAAGTTTAAGAGATTCCTTAAGAGGAAATTTGAAAGCCTTTCCCAAGGGAAAAAAAAAAGACATAAAAAAGACCAGTAGATTTTGAATATACAAAGATTTTTTAACTATATACGGGAAAATGCAAAGAAAAAAAAGCAAAAAACAAAAAGTGGGGGAAAATATCTACAAAACATGACATTTATTTAATATACTGAAAACTTTTACATAGCCATGAGAAAATTATGAACTACCAAAAGCAAATTGGACAAAAAGGTATGCAAACTTAAAAATGTCAATATCTCATTCAGATCTAAGAAATGTTCTTTTTCAACCCTAACTAAAGACTTGTGCATTAACCACCAAGAGGCACTGCACTTCACCTCCACTGGGGATCTGCTGGCTAAGATGATGCA